CTCCGCAGAAGCCCTATCCTCAGATGAAAGGCGTGGCAGAGAACGGCTTCCATAACTCCATCATGACTCCCGTCTTCAAGTCTCTGGAGGTCACTATGGACTTGTAAGTATCTCCCGTCCTCTATCATTATGTCTAAGATCTACCAGAGCAAAAAGGGGGGTTATTTTATTTTTCTATATAATTAAAAAAGTACAGTAAATGTTAAAAAAGAAATGTTTCCCTCCGTTCTGATATATAGATATTATAAAACAAAACATACGGTCCATGTGCAGTGACGGTCTCGGGAACTACCCTGGAGGGGTCATGGTTGCCAGCATGGGCGGTGATTGGGTGAATCTCCCCACCTGGGAGGAGAGGATTGATTGGGAGGTCAGGGGGGTGTGGGGGGGACTGTCCGGTGAGGATAATAATGGCGGCCAGGGAGGAGGGGCTGGTTTGGACTATCAATGTTTTTCTAGGTGCCTCTCGGGTTGTTGTCTCCCTTCCCGTCAGACCTTCTCATTGTTCTCTTCCACAGCCGAAACCTCTACCACTCAGACTGGGAGTTCCCTGATTGGATCCCGTGTAAATCCAGTTGGCACTTCCTGTCCTGCCGGTGAGTACCATGTGACACTGACCTGCCCCTCCTCCTCTCACTGGTAGAGATGGGGAAGCTGCGGGGAATATCGATGATCTGATTGGCAGAGCAGCAGCATGTGATGTTGGTGGAGGTGGGCATTGATGATGGAAGTGGTAGTCCAGGAGGATGAGGCAGTAGTCCGGGTGGGTCACGGCGTGGTTGCTCCGGTCTTTGGGCTGAGTGTTGTATGAATTGAACGTTCTTTGTTTTTCGGGTACAGGGACGCCGAGCCTTACCTCCCCCTCCAGCCGTCCTCGCCACCATTCTCCATCAGACGGGAAGGAATCCAGGAAGAGGCGGAGCCGTGTGTGCTGAGCAGGTCTGTGTACTTCCTGTATGTGACACTTCATACCATTATAGGGGGACACGCAGAGGTGACTCCTACATGGGGTTAGTAAAAATGGCCCCCCGTCATCCGTGGGGTGGCTCCACCTTCTAGTGAACATTGGAAGGGTGTCATGTGTTCTATTGTTGTGTCATGTGACACCATCATGTGACCATGCCCCCCTTATATCATCCCCTCTCCTCTGTGCAGGTTCCAGTCTCTGCCCCCTCACCCTGAGCGCTGGGACTTCACCTTGTTTGTGGGGGGCCCCGTGTGGTCCATGGATTGGTGCCCAACCCCGGCTGGCTCCGGGGCCTGTCAGTACCTGGCTGTGTACTGTCACCGCGGGATGGATGACCGCCATAGCCTGCATGTGACGCACAGCCGACCGGCACTGCTGCAGATCTGGAGCCTGGGGGCCCTGGATGTGGAGAGCGGGTGAGTGTCAATGTGACCGGCCCTTACATCAGTCTTGTCGCTGCGTGTCCCAGAATTCATAGTTCAGCTTTATTCAGTTAAAGGAATATAGTACATACTAATGACATCACGGGGCGGGGGTATCCCATAAGGGGGTATAGTACATACTGATGACATCACGGGGCGGGGGTATCCCATAAGGGGGTATAGTACATACTGATGACATCACGGGGCGGGGGTATCCCATAAGGGGGTATAGTACATACTGATGACATCACGGGGCGGGGGTATCCCATAAGGGGGTATAGTACATACTGATGACATCACGGGGCGGGGGTATCCCATAAGGGGGTATAGTACATACTGATGACATCACGGGGCGGGGGTATCCCATAAGGGGGTATAGTACATACTGATGACATCACAGGGGGTGGGGAGTCCCATAAGGGGGTATAGTACATACTGATGACATCACAGGGGGTGGGGAGTCCCATAAGGGGGTATAGTACATACTGATGACATCACAGGAGGTGGGGCATCCCATAAGGGGGTATAGTACATACTGATGACATCACAGGGGGCGGGGAATCCCGTCCATAAGGGAGTCTAGTACATACTGAGGACATCACAGGGGGCGGGGAATCCCATCCATAAGGGAGTATAGTACATGCTGATGACATCACAGGGGGCGGGGAATCCCATCCATAAGGGAGTCTAGTACATACTGATGACATGACAGGAGGTGTAATCCCCTGAGCCTTCTCCAGTTTATGATGTAACTAATGGTTTGCAGTCGGGGTATTGAGCTAAGAAATACTCCCCCGGTGCCGTTGACATCACTCAGCCCCGCGGGATCCTGGGAAAATCTCACAAGATTGCATACCTGGTGTGTTGTCTTAAGATTTGCAATGCTGATTGATGTCACCCGCATGGGCCGCATGGCCGAGGAATGAAGGGCGGGGTCTAAATCAAGTCATTGGTGGGTGTGGAATATAAAGAAGAGCTCCGCCTCCAAACACTTCTATTACTATGGTGCAGCTCTGTGACCTCAATAACTCTGATTGGTTCCTCAGCTGCGAGTCCGCGGCGTCTCTCTCTTATGGGCTGGCGGTGGATGAAGGCTGCATCTGGGATATGAAATTCTGCCCCAGCGGAGGGTGGGAGCTCCCATCTGCCCCCAGAAAGGTGAGTCTTGGAACGTTCATGTGGGTGGGGCAGTACACGGGGACAGGGTTGGGGGGGTTTCCTTTTTGTAATACCTGACGAATGGTTTTCTTTCTCATCCATTGAGAGACACAAGAAGTCGTAGCGTGTTGGGTTATACTGCCGCCTACAGGAGGGTGTGGACACTGGCAAACACACAATCTGTAGGCCAGTCCAGGGTAACTCCTCCTCCTCCTCCTCCCAGCATGCCTCAGTTTTGGAGGACGGGGGGCTTTTCTTTTGCTCTGCTGTTGCTTTTTCTTCTTCTTTAACCCCTTCATGACGGAACGAGTTTTCAGTTTCTGGTCATAGATGACGGACGCGCTTGTTACATTGTTGCTGAGCGATTCTTCCACGTCAGGTATATACTTTCTTACTAAGCGTACCCGCACATATTATATATTGTATGTTAGAGGACGGATCGGGCTGTATATTTATATCACACATGTGTACCTAACGCCTCACTTAGTTTGAATAAAATACAAAAATGAGGACCAAAAAAACGTTTTTTCTCTTGTCAGTTTATATCGGTCACTATGACGGATAAATTAACTTTTTTTTAAAACATTTTGGCTATTATTAGGCAGCTCCAAACTTAGGAACAGCTAATAATAACCTCGGAGACTGATCCGGACTTTAGTCAGATTCAGATCTCCCTTAGGCCCCATTCACACTGAGCGACATGAAAATTGTGCGATTATTGAGCGACTTGTCGTGACTTTTTCCTATCGGGCTGTATGCAATCGGGAGCGAAATCGCTCGAAAAAAGGGTCATGTGGGAGCGACCTGCTACGAGTGATATTGAGCGGCGAGATGTGAACGGCGCCATTGAAATGGATTGGAGAAGCTACACAGAGCGATATCGCTGCAAAAATCGCTCAGTGTGAATGGGGCCTAAAAGCTCTTTGATCGGCCTGGAGCAGCGGTTCTCAACCTGTGGGTCGGGACCCCTTCGGGGGTCGAATGACGATTTGCTAGGGGTCGCTCGGGAGTCTCCTGCTATTAAATAGGGGCCGCCTGGGAGAGAAACACTTTCTCCCGAGCAGAGTAAACCTTTTTTGTCTGACATTGGGGGCCGTAAGTCAGGGGAAAAAAAACACCCTAGGAATGCATAGCTAGATCCCTATTGGCTATGTCACTTTCCAATAGCCAATAGCAAACTAGCTAGTGCACCCGCCCTCTGCTGCTGCCAATCAGCAGAGGGGGACCTGAAGTTCTCAATCAGGTCCCCACTATTGATAGCAGCAGAGGGCGGGTGCACTAGCTAGTTTGCTATTGGCTATTGGAAAGTGACATAGCCAATAGGGATCTAGCTATGCATTCCTAGGGTGTTTTTTTTGGTTTTTTATTCTGTCGGCGTACACCAGCGGTTCTCAACCTGTGGGTCGCATTGTGGGTGTGGTGATTTCTGCTGTGCTAGGTGAGCCGAGCGCAGCAGTGTCAGTTCTCCCGCCAGATGTCGCTGCAGCAGCCGCGTCATTCCTAAATTTTACTGTTGGGGGTCACCATAACCTGGCAAATGGTACCAAGGGGTCCCGGCCCTAGAAAGGTTGAGAACCACTGCTCTATACTGAGTGTTCCTGTTCATTCATAACATGAGAACATTGTGTGTTTACTATAACCACAACCACATTTATTCATCTTTCACCTACACTGAACAATGTGAGAACATGTAGATGGTTTCCAAACAACCAATCCTCATAAAAAGCCCCTTCTCTAACAACGGGTTTAAAACATTGTTGCTAAAGTCAAAGGCGCTGCAGCCACCTCCCGTAGTGCGATCGGATGCGTGGCAAAATATTGCCTGCGTTCTCTTCCACTGCAATGCCGCTTGCGCTATTTTTTTTTGTGTATGCAGTGGAATGGAACGCAAGCAATGTTTTGCCACACTTCCCGATCGCACTGCGGCGGGAAGGCGAAGCAGTGCCATTGAATTCAATGCACTGCCACGCCCCAGAACGCAGGGGAAGTTTTGTGAGCGATTGTGATGCGTTCCAGCAGCTGCCACTCTGGAACGCATCACAATTGGTGTGAACAAGCCCTTAGACACTGAATTCCTTTTTTTTTCCCCTACCCCGTATGTTTTATATATTGTACAAAGTGCAGGTCCGGGGGTTGGGGACCACTGTCCTATGTGATCCAAGTAGATAGATATTAAAGAAGTGTCTCGTTTAGGAACCTATAAGTGATGTATCTCTGTCATAAAAAGATATATGTCATCTCCATGAATTGTTTGTGAAAAAATTCCAATAAAGTTTTATAAAAACAACAAAAAAGTCTCTGTGGTGGAATTTTCTGTTTTTATAAAACTTTTTTATTGGATTTTTTTTCACAAACAAATCTTTTTATGACAGAACTGTGAAGCCCGTCGGCAGTGCGGGGCCCCGGTGTTCGAACACCGGGACCCTGCACTGCCCCATATTGCAGGACCGGACCGCACTGAGACTGTGCGGCCCGGTACCATTTGATCCGCGGACCGGGGGTTGGGGACCACTGGTCTAGAGGATCAGAACTGATACATTTCACTCAAAGGATATACATTGTATCTCTTGGGTGAAATGAGAGTCACTGCTCCCCCTCTGCTATCTTCAGCTGTCAGATACGGGATCACTATTTAGCGGTCCTGTATTTGCATGTAACGGCTTCATTCTTTCATTAATGACCGGTAATGAGAATCAGCTGTCACCGGCATTACAGAGCCTGATATCACTCGTCACGTACAGTGTACGTCTCCCGCCACGAAGGGGTTAGGCTTTATTTTTCAATCCAGGTTCACTCACTTACTGCTTGATGTGACCATCTCGGACTTGGGAGTCCCCACAGTCTCCACTCTCTGATTGCTTTGAGGAACCGCAGCCTTTATGTAGTTGCCTCAGACGTACAAGAGACCATTGCAGACCTCACTGATGTGTGCTGTACTACTCTGGATCTAGGGGGGGATCGGCCTGCTGTCACCAGCCCGGGGGGGGGGGTTAGAGCCCCCTGTGGTTGCAGAGATCTTCCCACTACACCCTTTAGTCAAAGTATTTCTCTAGGTGGACAGGAAGTACCCTGAGGGGTCTTGGACTGCCCCTCGGCTGCGGTCTCCTGTTTGAGAAGGAATTTGTTAGGCGGTGGTCCATACACCCTGTGGATCGGCCCGTGACCCACCTTAGCAGGACACCCAGTAGGTCATGAGAGGACGTACTTATCTTCGAGGATTCTACTGACCACCAGTTCCTCCCGGACACCCAATTGTTACCGGCAGGTGCTGTCCTTTGCCCCATCATGTCAGAATGGGTTTAAGCCCTTAAAAGAGATCTTTATGCCCCCCCCCCCCTGAGATGACCCTTCTTGACGGGGTGTGTGAGGCAGATGTCTGGAGCTTTACCCTGCAACGTCTTGTAACGTCTTGTTCCTCCATAGAGATGAGAACTCTGGTCAAGGTGTTGGGAGGCAGATGCCATGTCCACGGATCAGCTGACTTGTTTCGACTTCAAGGGACTTAAAATGTTTAATATAATACAGTTATAAAAATGAAAAAAAGGCGGGAAAAGTAATTTTCAGTTTCCGCCTGACATTGTGTGATCAGGCGGATCTTAACCCCCCCCCCCCCCCCCGCGGGGGTTCGGGGC